TGGCAAAGAGCTGCATGGAACTTTCAGTCTCCAAATTATTTTAAGGTAAAGATCGATATTACAAAATATCGATATAACTTGTTATCGATATTTTAAAATATCGATATGCATACCCCTCCCTACTAAGTGATTTCCTCTCTTAATTTCCAAGTGTTAAGCCGGACTGCGCGATTAATAGGCTCTACCTAACAGCGTAATCGACAGTTTTTTTCTCTCAATAAAATCGTTATAATAAAGTTAATCGGCACATATCTATCTGTAATGAAATCTGTAGGAATCAATCTGAAATCTGCGAGCGAAGATCTTTGCAATAAACCGATGGAAAAATAAAATATTATTACACAAGGGTGAACAGTCTAGTTTTGCGATTCAAGGCTAACCGGAGTCGAGGCAGAATCCCGTCTATATTTTTATTACATTTATTATTTTTTCGTGTTTTTTTTTGGAAAATATTCTCTATGCAATATCAATGTAAAAGGACAGGATATGACAAAAATGTGTTTTAGTAATAGTTATTTATTAAACAGTATGTCCCCGGATTGTCTTTACAAGAGGAAACGATTTTTTGTAGAGATGAGCAATTGAAACTGCTATTGCGACTTTTAAATTGCAGCTATTGTAACCTGCGATTGCGATTTTAATATTTATCAAACCAAATTAGTCGTAAAAATTGCTTTTTCTAAATATACCAATGAGCCACATTCGTTCCATTTGAAAAAACTGAGATATATGATTAAAAATACGATTTATGCATCTTTTAACAGGCCAGGACAAGACGGGAAAAACAATAAATCATCAAATCTGTTTTTCAAGGCATCTTGATTAAAAATTAATGTTTTTAATGCAGCCATGACACTCTAGATTGAAATTTAAAATACGATTTTTTAAGCGAAAATGTCATAAGTTGCCATTATATTTAGAGTTAGAGTGTCATTTCTATGAAATAAAGTAAAAAGATGGCGCCGGGAGGCACGTATAGCCGCCCATACTAAAATATGTTAATAAAAAGTTGGTAGCAAGGGTGTAGATAAGGGGGGGGGGGGTACTGGGGGACAGTACCCCCCCCCTGACGCTTGACGAGATACGAGAATTGAAATAGTCATTGTCTATGAAAGGATTTTTTTTAATTAATATCCGACATATAAGAACAATTTGTATGCTTTTAATTATGTTGATTTATCGTTTATAATATGTTCGACCTAATTAAAAGCACACAAAGTGTTCTTATTGGCCAGGACAGATTAGTGGGGTTAACTCTAATCAACATCCTTAAAGATATTGAAATAAATGTTGATGCTGTTATTGATAGATTTTCCAAACAGCGTACTAGAAAACTTGATTTTCTTTTGTAGTTTTATTTATAGTTTATAGTTTTTATAGTTTTTTTTTTGATAGTTTAGAGTTTTTTATTTATAGTTTATAGAAAATTAACTAATAAACGTCGTTGTTTCATTTTTGTTTATGTTATTTACAAATCTATATTTTAATTTTTAAAATTCCGACGGTGATATTTTTTGCGACTTAATCATAGTACCACCCCCATAGCATACACCTATCTACGCCCCTGGTTGGTAGGCAGTTCTTTTGATCAAAATATTTTGTATTTGTCATTTATGACCCAAATAACTCATTTTGAGTGAATATAAAAAAAAATTGTCGATCTTAATACCTACCTGTTAGTATGGTCAGCTAAAAACTTGTAAATGTAATGATAAGATTATCTATATAAAAATGTTTTTTTAAGAAGTCAATTTTGAGAAGTGATACAGAATTGGACTAGCAAAATATGTGAACGGCGACACTCCCATAACGTTCCTCTTTGAATATTAATACAGGTCCGGACTGGCAAGAAGAACAACAACGACGAACAACAGAAAAAAAACGAGAAAAATCCGAACACAATAGAAGAACGTTTAATTTGAATTACAAAACGGGTCCAACTTTTACATCGGTAACAGCTAATAGCGAGGAATGTAAATGTAGAATCTTATTCGCTAGGCGCTGGCTGCCCCTCGTTGTTTAGACGGTTTTTGGCACGTGGTACTAGCTTACCGTACCGTTAGACTACAGATTATTCGACCAGAGAAGTACTAACAGTAGATGGAGTTAGTTTATCAGGTCTTTTGAACAGTGCTTTCCATAAAATCAATAAAATGAAAAATATACGAAATAATATGCATGTACTGATTTCTTTCGAAAATCGACAACTATGAAACTATGAACTCTTCCTGGACACAAACGGTACATTGTGAGACAGAAAAATGTAGAGAGAAACAAGCCTAAACCAAACACCCCAGAAAGACAAAAAATTGTTGAGAATTTTAAATTTTTCTTCAAATTTTCCTGGGAATTTTTGCAATGGGGAAACCTTGCAATGTTGCTACCTCTTCCTTCCTACTGCTCTATGTGAGTATGGTGCCATCACAAAGCAATCGCATTTACTATGTCTCTCCAAATTGTTCTGTCTTGAGGCGCATTACTCGTGCAGATTATGATCTATAATTTTCTTCATTTCGTCACCCAATAATTTGTGTTAGTCAATAGTAATAGTTGTCACCAAACCAAACTCCACAATTAGTTATTCTGGGCCATTAGTTTTCCTGGATATGTGACCAAAGTATCTTAAATAAGATTGGTTTATAGAGTATGTTCCCGGATTGTCTTTACAAGAGGAAAAACTTTGAACATGAGAAAAATACAAAATACATTGCTTATTCTAAAATGGATAATCCCGTTTATACTTTTCCAAATTGTTGGTCTCAAACCATTCCATATTGAACGATATTCTTATTTAACACCCTGCGTTTTAAGTGCGTTTAAAGCAAAAAGAACAGAAGTAAAAGATCATAAGAGCAAAGAACGTGTGATATAGAGAGCGAAACAAGAACAGAAAGAATACTCGACAATGGACTAATAAAAAGAGATCCATCGTACGTTGTGCAGATACACAAGTACCTACTCTCTGATCGAGGCATATAGACTCGCACACATACACACAGACGGAGAACAATCAAAATTTAAATAAACAATGCGCTCGACGATGCATACGTGAGTGCGACCCTGTATTTTTTCCCGAATATGATGAAAAACGCCACAGATCTAGATGTGGCATTGCATTGTTGTCGGCATAATGGACCGATTATGCTAAGTCCGGCCCACGTGCAGATGGGATCGACTAGGTTTTAGAACAGAGTTATTCTATACAGGGTGTTTCGAAAAACATGTGCCATCTCTCGTGGGGAGATTCCTCACGTAAAAATAAGATTTATTTTTCATATCAACATAGGTCCGATTCTGCTTTGTTTCGTAGCTACGGGGTGTTAAAGTATTAATAATTTTTCGATTTATTATAATTTTCTTCCAAGTACCTACTTTTAGTAATTCGAATGAAATTTTGAGGGTAAATGTTAGTAAAAGTGTAGTAATTTTAATGCTAAAAAAGTATCGATAAATTCATCAGGGACGTGCATATGGAATATTTATCACTGGAATATTTTTCAAAAAAAACATATGCGCCACTGACTTTCTTTTTGATATCAAAATTGTATAGGCCGTTTAATGCCAATTAAAAGTTCTCTTGATATTTTGTCGAATTCGGCCTCCTTGACGAGATAAACGCAATTTTATTAATCACAATCAATAAAATTAAAATAAAAATAAAATTAATAAATTATTATATATTTTGCCTCATTACTATTAGATTATTATTACTATTATATTTTATTACTATTATTCCAACCTACAGCAATCTCAAATAAAAAAATAATGGTATTTGGGATAATTACAAGAAACCTAAATTTTAACATTCTGTAACTAAAGTATGCATTTCCATACCCATGGTTATAGGAACTTTTTTTCATATTTTTTGATGAGGAATTAATCAGTACTTATTCAAAACTTTCGTAAGTTAATGATATTAATTTTTTTAAGGGTTGCTATTAGACTTGCTATTGATTTGCGTTTATCTCATCAAGGGCAAGCAAAACCGAGAGGTTTAAACGTTATGTGTAGATGACACATTAGTTAATTAATATAAAACTTTTTGTAGATTCTGTTAATTACAATTTTTTGGCCAAGAAATTAAAATAATTCGAAATGAGTTGACGCAACTTTCTGAGGTCAATGTCATCAAGGACACGCACAGAAAATTTATAATCTCGCAACCCACACAAGAAAGGCAAGATGCTGTAGCTCATTCTTATTTATTTAGTTCCTTTTATATTTTTTTCGTTATTTTAGAAGGAATTCTTCAGATAAAAACGGAGGAGATATTGGTGACATTTGAATTTTTATGGCGGTTTTTACTTTAATACCATTAAAATTTTAAGCTGTGTAAGTTTTAGTGGAAACGTATATAATCAAAATGATTTTGATTGGGCGTATATTATGTAAGAATTTTTAAGAAGGTATTTCTAATGATATCGTGTAGGATTTTTTTAAAACACATTAATAATGTGATAAAAACGAGGATTTCAAGAATTCTGTAGAATCTTTATTTGTTCCATTATTAACTTGATGGTGAGTACCCAATAAATCTATAGAATGCTAACATTTACAGAACTGAAATCAGTATTAGTTTTTTTACGAACAAGACATTATACAATTGATCGAAAATACTTCGTAATATATGGCTATAACAGAATCTGCAACGATAGTTAAGATTTATTCATTTAGTTTAGTTGAAAATAACTTCCGTATGATGAAAACGGCGTCCAGTTGGCTTGGAAATGAACATCGATGACATTCCCCATACAATTTTACATATAAAATGACAGCGATCTTCATTTCATAGCCATCGCTGACGCGTTTTTTTGTGATCATACGGTCTAAAAATGAATTAAAGTGTTTATTAAATCGAAATTATATTACCATAGAAACGTCTTTCAATTTTTAGGACTTAAAAAAAATTCAACTACATTTCCATGATTTTCTTAATTTTCTCTAAATAAACTTCTTTCTTTTACAAACCATTTATTTATTTTTCTTTCTCATTGTTTCAGAAATATACACACACCAACCATGGAAGTCTCTTTTAAACCCTCTTAACCCTTTTATAACCTTTTCAAAATCCTCAACAAATTTAGAAACCCCATAAAAATGTCCTATCTACTACAAAACCACCATTAGAAAACTCATCCTTTTTTATTTCCATAATGTTTGACCATATTTTGGACCGATTGACCAGTCCAAACTCCAGAAGAAGACATACGTACCATTGTCCTGAGATCCAGTCTGATCCAGAAGATTGTGAACCGGTGACAGTATCCAGGAAACCCAGGCTGCTGGAAAGGAAGAAAAAAGGAAGAAGAGTTGAGGCTGGTTTGAGACAGGCCAGGAGTTTGGGAAGACTAGATGGTCTGAAAGAGGTAAGTTTTTTTATAAAAATGTAATATTATTTTGTTACTACACCATATACTATATAAAAAAAATGTGTATACATTTTATAATAATTAGACAAGAAACCGTAAAAAAGATATGTTTAAAATGCATTTAAAGGTTATTTGTTGGTTAATAACCATAAAAATACATTCTTCGCGTCTTTTAATGAAGCTATTTGACTGAATGTATGAGATTTCACTCTCACATTTCCACAACTTTTACTCGGAGTTTGTATATAGTTATGGTAGTACCATGCGACACACTAATGCCCGTTTTGGGCAATAGCTTTTTATTTTTAAAGTCATCTGTGTCCATTTACAAACAAATAACTCATTGAAAACAAACTTATATTACTTACATGCCAATATTATAAAGATGGTATAGTAAAAAGCATCTGTTTATCGCATATTGCTTTCACCTGATTTTCTAAATATATAGGATATATTTTAAATAGCGAGACTGGTCTTGGTCTTGGTCTTGGTCTTAGTCTTGCATTTGCTTATCACAAATGTTAAAAATATAGAGGAATAAACTCAACTACAAGGAGCATATAAAGAGTTCCAACCTGATTTTAATGTTTTATTTTCTTTCTGGATTCGATTCAAAATTACCAACTAAGTACTAGGTACTGTGGGTTCTTTAATAGTACCACAGAAAAGGAGAAAGATTGTAACCGTTATAGGGAGGAGATGTACTACTGATGCGTTGCACGGCAGCATGCAGGACTAAAAAGACCATTCCATGAAAATTAACTGTCTATCAGAGCACGGCGCTTTATTTTACCTCCTAGATTCGATTAAATCGATCAGTGCTTACTTTAGAGCAGGTTCCATTTCCTGCGTCGTTTTCGATACCGTTAGATACAGTGTCCCGTTTCGGTGGCAAATGAGACGGTTATATCGCTTATTAATAAACAGTATGTCTGAAGATAGAGTTATGCGGTTTTCATAATATTACGAAAAAAAAAAATAACTATGCCACTGAATTTCACTGAAAAGTTCTATAAGAATCAGGAGGGGTGTCTGAATCTACAATAATTTCAAAATCACCATTTGAACACCCTGTATGTTCTTTTTTGTTTATTTTAGTAATTCCCCTCTTTTTCGGTAAAACTGAAATGTATTCTCGCTAAACGTATATGCTGATGTCGGGCTGTTTCGGGAAAGGAAGTAACTCAGCCTGCTGCTGCTTTTGTTAGCGAGAACGAGCATCAGCCTTGGTCGGCAAGGTTGCCAATTTAACGACCAAAAGACCCGTTAACGAGCCAACCAAAGTGGCAATTTGGCGCGAGGCATGCATAAAGGCTCGACTTAGCTGTTTCTTACTTTCCGTTTTTATCGAAAACCCGATTATCTCGATCGAAACAGTCAATTTTGGTCGTTTCCTTATCGATTGCCAGTTTTTTTGCTCTATTTTTCCAAAAAAAATGTTTAAGATGTTAAATAATTATGGTTATGTGCAATTTATTTTAAAAATGGTAAATACCTTGTAGTATGCAGATATATTGTGTGCCCGTTTCTCGAGTTATAACTCTTCATACAGTGGCAATTGTCAAACGCCAGTATCTAAGATGGTTTTATAAAGGTTAGTTCTCCATCTCAAATTCAAATTAGATAATTGTATAACCTTCCTGGGAAGAAAAGCTATATATTTTTTTATAATTAATTAATAAAATCTATTACATTTTATATTCCATTGTAAAGAGACTTCTATAATACGGCTTGGGTACCCAGATGGTACCTTTGCAGATATTATTGTGTTCGATTTCGCGGACAATGGGAGGAAGTATGCGGCAGCACCAAAGCTTAGTTCCGCCAGACAGACATTTTTTGATCGCTCGTACCTAGTTGTCACATCCGCATTTACAAACATTGTGTACAAACCAATGGGAAAAAAGGGAAAACCAGCCATTAAAAGTATAGGGAAGTGTTTCAATATTCAATTTTGTCGGGAAATTACCAAAAATCTCGAACTAATGGTATCGCCTATATGTTTACTATATTCAGCATAACAGGGTTACGGTATAAACGCGACCTTTGTAGAACTACAAGCTCTCCATTACGTATTCGCGAGATTTCCTCTCAGGAATTCTCTCTTGTGCCGAAGAAAAAGTAATAAAACAAAGTGCAAACGACTTGATAGCGATTCAATAACCCCATTTATCAATCAGAACTAGCTACCGAGGCCCATGAGCCGGCCAGCCATTCCAGCTCATATTTAAATAGCTTTATCTATCGAGGAAGTGTCGTACCGCTAGGAACAGGTACTTCTCCATCTCCATCCTTCTCTCGTTCTTGTATATGTTGAATTTGCGGCCGATTCAAGTTACGGGGTGAGTCGAATTATAAAATATGTAATGTTTTTGTAAGTCTATCTTTTTTTTCCTGTACACGGTTTAGTATGTCCTAAAACTATCTAAACTACCGCTACCTACTTTCGGAGATACAGGGTGTAGAAGTTTCATTTTTATTTTGATTTTTTCAAATAATTCCTGAGCTATAGTCGATATTTGGATGAAAATTAGTGTCTGAGAGTTTTTGGCATGAGGAATTTGATTTTGATGTCAATATGACTCCTATTTGCAGGGGGCGCTACCTACATGTGTTTTAACTGTTTAGAAAGTTAATAACTTAATGTCTTCGTCTGTACCTGTATAAAACTACTGAATGAAAAAGTATACATTTCTGTGATTTTTGGCAAAAATTGCTACGAGTGTACCGTTTTTAAGATAATATTTAGAATACATGTCATTATTGACAAAAAATAAATATGTTGAGTAGATAGTTATTTGACTGAAATGATAAATTTGGAAACTTTTTATTTTTTAAATTAATCATAAATTTTTCTTCGAAAAATGATGATAAAACAGTTTCTGTTGAACTTTTGGGACAAAAACATTTCAAATTTATAATTTCAGTCTAATAACTATTTAGTTAACTTAACAGCACGTCAATTATGTCAGTTATGTCAGTGACACAGTGATGACAGGTACCTATTGATAATTTCGATTCCAAATATTTCGAGAACCATTATTCGTAGCGATTTTTACCAAAAGACCTTTTTACGTAAACATTAACGTCGTAAATGTATATTTTTTACTCAGTAGTTTTATACAGGTACGGAAGAAAAGTTATTACTCTTCAAACCGGTTAAAAAATATGTATGTGGCGCCCTCTACAAGTAGGAGTCATATTGACATCAAAATCAAATTTCTCATGTCAAAAAACTCCCATACACCAATTTTCATCCAAATATTGACGTTACTTCAGAAATTATTTGAAAAAATCAAAATAAAAATGAAACGTCTACACCCTGTATCTCCGAAAGTAAGCATTTTAGGACATACATTTATACGAACTTTTTTGCTTATTTTATCTCCAAAATACAGTTCGGACCACCCTGTATACTCATATCCCTTGAGGATTTGAAAAAATCAAACCGCAAAAAACGTGTATTTCGACACTCTCAACGGAATCAAAATTTATAGGTTCTATCTACCTAGAACTATGAAATTTGGCAAGCAATACTGTCTTATACTACAAGTACCTATGGGTAAAAATCTGAAAACTATACATTTGTAATTAAGTCATAAAAAATACTCACCCTGTACATCAGATTACTCAAACGCGAAATAGACATCGCGGGCATCGTAGTATTTGCATGTGAATGGGCCCCATTGATTTGTGGCTACTGTTCCGGCACATACGGACGCTCCGATTCAAATGCGATGATAAATCATTGTCCCAAGAAGGAATCCGTCCACGTGGAAAGCGCATTCGGAAATACCTATGCTACAGATCAACAGAAAAAAAATATAGGCAATCCATTTTTTATATACACACAGAAGCAAAAAAAACGCAACGGAGAATTTTTTCGTCAAGTTAAAGTGTCATATTTTTTTACTTTACTATTTTCAAAAATTTTCCGTTTTTCTTTTGCATGTGAGTGTATATCTTGGTGATATTTCAAACCAGGCATATATTATTCTATCTTTTCTATATTTAATCTAAGTTATACCCAACTAACCAGACTCCGCGGATTACCGCATCAGCTTCTAAACCAATTAAAAGGCGTAACGAATGGCCGTTGGCACTTGGTTGGTTCCATTCCGAGGCGCAGAATGAGAAAGAGAAGTACCTATAGTAGTGCGGGAACGAGCGGTACCAAATACGGGCACGAAAATGCGTACCAAAAGGGCATAACTACTTGGAAATGAATGGCGTCTCTGCCTAGCGCCGTATTTCAAATTATTCGTGCCATCGGTGATGGTGGATTCTTCGAAAAGAAAAAATCGGAAAAGCTGCAGGAGAGGAAAAAATGGAAGAGAGTCTGACTTATACAAAACGATATTTTACGAACCTTCGACTATGTAGTGGATAGATACGGTTTGGCGAAGAGATCTTGTAACATAAAGTATGATCTAACGTCATTTCAGGGCAAGGAATTGAATTTTTCTTTGTGCGAAACACTCAAAAAGCAATAATGGACTTCGACTATGTAGTGGATAGATACGGTTTCGTTTCGAGATCTTGTAGCCAAGATAAAGTATGATCTGACGTCATTTCAAGGCAAGGAAATGATTTTTTCTTTGTACAGAACACGCAAAAAGCAATAATGGACTTCGACTATGTAGTGAATAGATACGATTTCGTTTCGAGATCTTGTAGCCAACATAAAGTATGATCTGACGTCATTTCAGGACAAGAAAATGTATTTTTCTTGATACTGGACTCTCAAAAAACAATAATTGACTTCGATTAAGTAGTGTATAGATACGGTTTCGTTTGGAGATCTTGTAATCAACATAAATTATGATCTAACGTCATTTCAGGGTAAGGAAATTATTTTTTCTTTGTGCGGAACACTCAAAAAGTAATAATATACTTCGACTATGTAGTGGATAGATACCGTTTCGTTTCGAGATCTTGTAACCAACATAAAGTATGATCTGACGTCATTTCAGGGCAAGAAAATGCATTTTTCTTTG